CACAGCGATCCTCCTGCCTCAGCCTCCCAAGTGCTGGGATTACAGGCATGCGCCACCACGCCCAGCCCAAAATGAAAATCTGACAGCTGTAAAATATTTCTCTTATGAAAAAGAAGAGAGTGGGCTGGGGATTTAGCTCAGTGGCTCTGTGCCTTCTTGACAAGCAAAAGGTTCTGAGTTCAATCCCCAGTACCAAAAAAAAAAAAGAGAGAGAGAGAGAGAGAGAATGTCTTACAAAATGGCTGTTAGGGGCAAGATTGCTATTTTAAGGCTAGCTAGTTTCACACTGTTAAGCCATGAGTCTCCACGGTGTCACAAACTCATAAACGGGTGAAATTGGCAAACAGACATTTACATCTGATAACACTCCTACCCTGGACCAAGTTTTGCTTCAATGTGAGGGACATCTGTGGTTGAACAAGGGAGAAAACTTATGTCAAGGCAGGATCATACGTATTATAGTAGTAATGCAAAGGGACTATAGGGAGTGAAAAATGATCAATGTTGGAATATTTATTTTATAATTTTGGGGGTGCAGGGATCAAACGTAGTACCTCGTGCTTGCCAGGCAGGCATTGTGATGCTGAGCTACATTCCTGCCCCATTGCTGGAATTTTAAAGCTAGAAATATCACGTATGCTACCAGTGAATTAGAACAGTGAAAATAAAGAGAGGTAAAAGACGGAACACCTTTGGGTTACACAAGGGAATAAAATATCTGTCATTTGAGTGAACAGTGGTATTTGGGACCCAAAATAAAACAAGGTAGATTGTGTCTCCAATAGTGCCAGCTACTCTGGAGGCTGAGGTATGAGGACTGATCCCAAGATCAGCGTGGGCAACACAATTAAGACCTCATCTCCAAATATACGTACAAAAAAACAAACACATACCAAAAAACCAACCATATTATCATCCAGAAACTGAAAGACAGAAAAATTAAAGTTTGTAGTTCAAAGTAGACAAAAATAGTAATGTCCCAGAGTCCAGCTGTACCACCTCAGAAATTAATAGAACTGTTTCTATTTAATACACACTAGCAAAATAGGCCCCTGAACCTTAATAGATATTAAGAAAGCAAATTCTGCTTCTGATGAAGACATGACTGATTTTCTGAATTACCTTCCTGAGCCACGGGTGACATCATTTTCTTTTTGTTTCTGTAGTTCTAGGGATCAAAACCAGGATCACATGCACACCTGGCAAGAGCTCTACTACTGAGCCACACCCCCAGACATCCCTATTTTTTATTTTGAGACAGGGTCTTGCTAGTTGTCCAGACTAGTGACAAACTTATGACCCTCCTGTCTCAGCTTCCTAGGTAGCTGGGATTGTGGCCATGTGCCACCATGCCTGGATCGGTCTTTTATTAATTTTTTTTTTGGTTTTTTGAGACAGGGTCTCACTATGTAGTTGAGACTGAGCTGGAACTCACTATGTTGCCAAGGCTGGTCTCGAACTCACAGGGATCCTCCTGCCTCAGCCTCCAGAGTGCTGGGATTACAGGCATGTGCCACCACACCTGGCTTGGTCATCCAATTTTTAAAAACTCCGATATACCTAATACTAGACTCCAGGTGGGCTGAACGCCTCAAACATTTGCTACTTGTCCATTGAAATGGTAAACCAGACCATGGCCACACTTTGCAATATGAGTTAACTGGATAGCTTCAGAGGAGGTAAAAAGCATCTAATTTTCCTCAGAAAGCTGGTTTAATCAGGTAAGGAATCTTGACCCAATTTCACTGTTAATTTTCTTTCTCTGAACCTCTTAGGGAATAAAACAAAAAGAGTGATTTTATTTTTGTATCAAAATAAGGCTATTTCACAGTGATAAAATTCCCTCTGGGTAAGAAAAACAAGTTTGTTTATTATAAAGTTTTTTTAACCATAGAGGCCTTGTTAGAGTCTAATTATAAGCATAATTACAAAGTGACACTGACATCTGCTGACTGTGGTTTTTTTCTACATATTATCTTTTTTTCTACCATATTACCTTATTTCACAATTCTTTTGCCTTCAATTGTACAAAACATGAAAACTTGCAGTTGTATTAAATTTACACAAGAGATTTCCATGCATTACAGTGTGAGATGGAAGATAACTATGTATCTAACAACTACCCATTGAGGTGGCACCTTCAAAAGAATTGCTGTGCCTCCTGGTAAGAACTGTCATGCAATGTCATAAATTTGTCCCAGATAAGAAGTATCACTGTAATTTTTTCTTTAAAAAGACTAGCTTGGTGTAATTTTCATACATGCAACTGTGAAATGATAGTAGGAATCACTGGAGGAATAACATTAGGAAGTAGGCTACTTTATAGGATTTGAGTCAGGAGCTCATTTACACAAGGGTATGCATTCAATTAAGTATGTATTGGGGTTATGTCTGAATAAATTGCTTATGGAGCTCAGCTAGTGAAGTTCTATATTTAGTGAATGAAATCATTTTATCCACATGCAGATTGACTAATAAAGATGTTGGAAAATTACTTAAGATGTGTTCACTGTTGTAAAAATTTACTTGCCGGTATCAAATAGTCTCGGCTTTCCAATTAATGACACGGTCTATTTGGTACATTGTGTATGAATTGGAAACAGAAAGCAAAAGAAAGAAAAAAAAAGAATTTAGTGATAGCCTAGTAGACATTAAATATGGAATTTTGAGGGGCAGTGTAATATTCTGCATAGTTCTATACCAGGCAGCAGTTACTTTGTCATTACACCTGGTGAATGTGTAATGTATTATAAACCAGCTAGGCTAACCTGGAGGTTATGTATCATTGAATTCAGTGATAATACTATGAACAAAGATACAAGATTCAAAGCCGGGCGTGGTGGCGCACATCTGTAATCCCAGCACTCAGGAGGCTGAGGCAGGAGGATCACTGTGAGTTCTAGACCAGCCTGAGCCACACAGTGAGTTCCAGGTCAGTCTCAACTACACAGTGAGACCTGTTTCAAAAACAACAACAACAAAAAAAAAGATTCAAAACACCATTTTTGAGAGCTATAAAGGCGGGAAAAGAAAAGGTGACTATAATAGTAAAGCATAAAAGAGGTATAGAAATAAGGTTGGATGACCAATTTCATGAGTGAAAATGTCATTTCAAATCAATTTATTTTCTAGTTTCATGAGAAAGCGTATTCTAAAAGCAGTGAGGCCAGCAAACAATCACAAGGCTGCAGAACACTGAACAAGTGTGAGCTCTGTAAAAACCACAGGGCAGAGACTGGGATGGTAAATTGTTAAAATTCAGAAAAAGTCCAAAAGAGCAGGAATCCCACAGTGGGGATACTGGTAGGAGGTAGCCCACTCATGGTGTTAAGAACCTCATCGGAATGCAAACATTTCAGTTGAAAGTGGCTATTTTCATGGACTTGTTTTGGTAAACTGCAGCTAGCTTCACAAATCCTGTTAATCAACACCGGTGTTTAAAGTTTAGACTAATAAAGTTATTTAATATGTCATAGGTGGTGATTCAAAGAAAAACAAGTGATACTTAAAATTTTGCAGGCATTCAATAAGTGTGCATTGGAGGAATGAATAATGGATAAAGGGCCCCAAGATTTCATCCATTAAATCTGGTAAGGAAATAATTTCTAGTGGGAGCTAAGTCCTAAAATCTAATTTCACAAGGTGTATTCTTGATCTAATACTAGTAGATATCTTATTGAAGCAGCTGAAGCAATGAAACAATCACTTATATACTCATATCAGAAACCTTAGGCTCAAAAAAAAAAAATACATGTCTTAAAACAGAACCCTAAGGCTCACAAAATACTAAAACAAGTCAACAAATTACCATTTTACAGTCATTAAGCAGAAATCTACTTGTACAAGATGGTCTACCAATGAACATATAGTTATTTACAATCCCTTCATATTCCTTTACTTGGATAAGTCAAAAGCTTTAAACTGATATTTGCACCATATATATTATTTCAATATGTTACAAGGAGTTTTTCTTTAGAGAGCCTTGCATTTGCACCACAATGATGAGTGTTAGCAGTTGGGGCTTTCTATGGCATCCAGGGGAGAAGCACCATTTAGGTTCCCATACTCCCAAAGAATCTAACACTTTGAATGCTATAGCACCTCTGCATTTTAACAGAATCAAGTAATTCATTGAAGGTTCTTGTTCCTAACATTTTATTTGGGTAATCCTTTTTGTGTTTCTATAAACACAAGTCAACAAAATAATGGGAACCCTAAAATGCATGGAACATTGCAACGTAGGCAATGTTTTAAGAGAAGATGAGTTACCATTTCTCCAAATCCAATATACTAAGATTAATGAATGGATTTAGTTCTAGATGGACGAGAACTAATGTTTATAATACCATTTCTACTATTTGACTATAGAGGGATGGTGGGATATGACAAGAATGGAGAACTTGTTTTGAAAAAATTTCTACAGAATTTATTTTTCCCTTATTTTTCATTAGATTGGACTGCAAAGCAATCAAGGCAATTTGGGATGGGTAGAGTTCTGGCTACTAATTGTTGCATTTTGTCACTTTGAAACATCAGAAGCATTTGACTCCTCTGAATCCCATTTTGTCCCATTTCCTTTTTTAAACGTCTTTCATGGATAATAATGATAAAGCCGGGATAAAAGAAAATCGAGGATATTGTTGACCACGCTCTTAGTTAAAAAAAAAAAAATCGATGTTGATGATTATGTGTCCTAATTCCAATTTTAGACAAACTATTTTACATAAGTAGCTACTATGTAATGTGAAAGGACATATTAAAGAACATAAACCGCATACATGATTCAACTACATATTGCAGTTAACAAGATGGAACTCTACACAGCAATAAATGATTTCTCTTGTATGCAAATAATGCACAAACAATAGACAATAGGATTCTCATACTATACTATTTCAAGTTACTTTTAAAAATAGAAAGTGCTTTTAAAATATATATTTACACTTTATGAACAGCCTCCAACCATTACTAACAAAAATGATTTTCTAGAGGAGGAAGTATTTTAAGAAAGAAAGCATTTCATTGGTTTATCTCAAAGGCTCAAAGGAATATGCCAATTTTCTAGCAATGATTGGAAGATGTTGGAACAGTGGCACCATGAAATAATAATTCAGCTTATTTTTAACTGCGTCGATGTGGTCAAGCACCAGGAGCTGTGTAGAGTTAACACTGTGTTGATTTTACATAATAGAACACGAACCTGTTAAATTCCTCTAAAAATGACTCTTGTTTCATAGTAAACAGACTTAATTTAAAGCACCAAACTGAGTAATTCTATCAAGGTTAACACCTAACCAAAACGTTTCTTTATGTATTTAAAACTATAAAACTTTTATTTTTGCTTAAAATGTGCACCTTCTACCAATTGTCAAAATATAGTCACAGTTAAGTACCCACCCTTTAAAAAAAATTTTTTTTAAACCTCAGACTTGACATGGGCGAGATGAAGATATAGTAAACGACAACATGACTTTCTTTTAACAGCACCTTGGAAAAAGACACTGCACTAGCAAAGGCAAGAAGGGGACAGAAGCCTTCAGACCCAGTGGTTATAGGGCCCTGCGACATGCGTGAGAGCGTAAGGGGACACGGTGACAACGTTGTTGTGGGTTAACGTTAATGCTTTGTGAGAAGGGATTTGGTTCCATTCGTTTACTTCAGGGAACAAGACAGCGGCCTCATCAGCCGCCTGCTCCTTCTGCTCCGAGGACTTCGTTTTCTTGTTCTTGGCTTCTTTAGCCTCAAACTTTATCTTGTTGAGTTCGAAACCGTGCTGGGGCTTGTTCAGGTTTTTGTGCTGGTAGAAGACGAGGGAGAGGCGCGTGGGGTGGTTTCGGTTGGGGTTGGCCACAGGGGTGGTGGCGTGGAGCTCGCGGCGCGCGCACTCGATCAGCACCGAGCCGTGTGTGGGAGCGATGGCCACGCCGCCCACGCTGGCGTCCAGGAAGATGTGCTCGCTGTCGGACCAGTACTCGTCCAGGTGCGGCAGCTTCTCCTCCGCGGGGG